AGTCCTGAGTACGAAGCTGCTCGTGGCAACCGCAGCCCCAAAGCCACTACAGCAATCGCAGTCCCAAGCCATTTCAGTACAGCTCCCCATATGTGATCCCCAAACCATCTCCACAGCCCCCAGGTGGCACCATCCCCAGCAAACCAAACGGTTCTTCAGGCCGTCCATATGGGCCCCAGCAGCAGCGAGCGAACTCAACTGATGAGAACTCCAACCAGACGTAGGGCATCAGGATGGGTCAAGCTGCGAGGAGGAGCAGAAGGGGCATCAGGATGGGTCAGACAGCGAGGAGGAGCAGAAGGGGTCAGGATCACTGGCAACTCAGAAGTAGCATGTGTAGCTCGACAGAAAGTGAGGGAGAGAAAGAGATGGAGAGAGAGGAAGAGATGTGATGAACCTGATCATTGAGATATGGGCTAAACAGCTCTATCTCATTCATCACACTCCGCCAGACTCCTTGCATCAGCCGTTTGCTGCATGTTCAGTGCCTCCAGCATCTGCCTGGGACTCCTGCTAAGGCAAGAAGGAACAAAGCTGCCATTTCTGCTTGTATTCCTGTTCATACCTCAAGGAAAGAACTTACAGCTTACAACTTTGAGCGTACAACTTTGAGACTGGACATGGAAATGAACACACAATACAATTTGGTATTTGGTACATGGATGGTTAATGGTTAGAGTGTTGGACTTGTAACCCGAAGGTGAACCTGGGTTCAAGTCTCAGGTCCGGCAGGGATTGTAGGTGGGGGGAGTGAATGACCAGCGCTCTCTTCCACCCTCAATACCACGAATGAGGTGAGACCCTTGAGCAAGGCACAGAACCCCCAACTGCTCCCCGGGCGCCACAGCAAAAAAGGCTGCCCACTGCTCCGGGTGTGTGTTCAGGGTGTGTGTGTGTTCACTACTGTGTGTGTGCACTTGGATGGGTTAAATGCAGAGCACAAATTCCGAGTATGGGTCACCTTACTTGGCCACACGTCACTTCACTTTCACTTTCACTTATGATCGAAGTAGGAGTGGCGAATCATGCGGACCAGAAGTTCGCTCAGGTACTGTGGCACGAGACCATTCAGTGATTTGGTCGTATTTTATAATCAATACGAAATTTGATTGGGAGCCAATGCAGTGTGGATAAGATAGGGGTGATATGGTCATGTCTTTTGGTTTTAGCAAGGACTCTTGCTGCTGCATTCTGGAGCTTGTTTATGCATCTACAGGAACATCCAGACAGCAAGGCATTACAATAATCCAACCTAGAGGTAACAAAGGCATGAACTAATTTTTCTGCATCATTTAGTGACATTATATTTCTTATCTTAGCAATATTTCTGAGATGAAAGAAAGCAATCCTAGTAATATTATCTACATGAGCTTCGATTGAAAGCCTGGAGTCAATAATCACACCAAGGTCTTTTACTGCTGCACATGATGAAACAGAAAGGCTATCCAGAGTTATTATGTAATCAGAAAGCTTACTTCTAGCTGCATGTGGTCCTACTACATGTACTTCTGTCTTGTCAGAATTAAGTAATAATAGATGATAATAATAATAATAATAATAATAATAATAATAATAATAATAATAATAATAGAAATAGATCCCGAAGAAGCCACACTGACTGATAGCCTGTCACACTGTCACAATTTTTGTATATTCTCGTTAAAGGTGCATCTGGTGAAATTGGCTGCCCTTTCATCTCAACTGAAGAGCTTTCTTATCTTAACGCAGGAGTTATATTCATGAAAAATGTATTGTTGGTGTCACTAACACTACTGTAGTTACCGTTTCAGTGGGACTATTTCTAGAATTGGAATATTGCATGGCGAACACTGATAAGCGGAGCGATACAAACAGCGAAACGTCCCAGTGCGGTTATACTAAATATAAACAAATAACAATAATAAATGCATTTAAAAAGGCACTCTTTATGAGAAAACAATAAGTGCTGGAAAGATATCACTGATGCCATGACGTTTTTATCTGGTGAAGGATGTAATGCCCATCAAAACGGGAGAAACTGAGGAGTTTAAGCAACTTAAAAATAATTGATCCTAAAACACAAATGAAAAATTCTGCTAATATATTCCATATTTAAATACTTGTTCGCCTGTCAATCACCTTTTCATTTATTGTACTTTTAGATGTTGAAGACACAAGTAGAGGTGATGTACCTTTCTTTAACATTAAATATGCTATCCATGCTTGACTGTTTTCATTTTAGAAAAATTGTTTACATTTTGTTGAGAAGTGCATTTTATTAAAAATGTACTTAGGCATGTGGTGTCTGTTATTCTTTTTATTTTAGATTACGCTTCATTTTCATCAGTAGTAAAATTAATATGGTTGCTCTGTTCAGTAACTTGCAAAATAGAAAAAACAACTTGAAAAATAATTAGATGAAAATGGTCATATCATGGGTTGTGATCCAGCCTGAAAAAAAATTGTGACGTGATATTTTTGCCAGATCACTCACCCCTAATGTCATTTACCAACAATATGCAAGGATTTAAAATTAAGTTAGTCATAGTTAATTACAAGCAAGTTAATGAAGCATAACCAAGTATACTGTGCTTTACATCAGTCTGTTAGGGGGACACATTATGTGTGCACATGGGAGAACTAGCCTGTGGGTTTATGAACAGAAGCCCTCTGGGATTCATGTGCGATCATAATCATATTTAATATTGTGACAAGTCAGTTTATTGTGGTTCCATTCTGAAGCATTTCCATTGACTTATGCATTTCTGTTGCCACATAATGCCATGCCATGCCATGCCTGACCCAAACCTTACCCTTCATATTTAAATTTGTCAGACACTTTTATCAAAAGCAACATACAGTTGAGCTGTGCAGTTGAGGGTTAAGGGCCATTCTCAGGGGCCCAACCATGACAGCATAGTAATCCCAGGAATGAAACTCACAGCCTTCCGATTAGTTGCCCAGAGCCATACCCTCTTATTTGTCCTTGTTTTTTTTTCCAAGTCAAAGCTGTATTAAAAAAATAAAATAAAAAATAGGCCATCACAATTTCCATATTCTCATGTGTTACTATTACAATACATCCAACCTTGAGGCGGATGGCCTACAACAGCAGAAGGTCACATCGTGTTCAACTTCTGTTAACCAAGAACAGGTATCTAAGGCAGTAGGCACAGGCTCACTGAAATTGGACAGTTGAAAATCAAAGCAAACCCATCAGAGTGATAACAAAAACATTACGTGTGGCCAAATAAACTAGACATTCATAAAAAGAATGAATGTGCTGGTGAGCTGAGGAACACCAAAAGGCCCGGAAGACCAGGGAAAACAACTGTGGTGGATGACAAGAATTCTTTCCTTGGTGAGCAAAAACCCCCAGGGAACTGAAACATTCTATGGAAAGATGAGACAAAAATCAACTTGTACTAGAATGATGGAAGAAGAGTATGGAGATGGGGAGGAACTGCTTATGATCTAAAGCATACCACCTTATCTTGTGGCATGGGCATGTACAATATGTCTGCTAATGGAACTGGTTCGCATCATTTATCGAGGATGTGACTGCTGACAAAAGCAGGAGGCTTAATTCTGAAGTTTATAGGGCTATGCTATTGTTCAGATTCAGCCAGATGTTTCAAAACTCATTGGATGGCACTGTGGATGGTCAATGAACGAAAGCATACTTTGAAAGCACATCAAGACTTTTTTAAGAAAAAGAAGCTGATTGTTCTGTAATGGCCAAGTCAGTCACCTGACTTGAATCCAATTGAGCATGCATTTCACTTGCTGAAGTCAAAACACCCCAAGACCAAGCAGGAACTGAAGACAACTGCAGTAAAGACCTGGCAGCTGAAAACAAGTATTGAAAATGCCAATTTAGTTTAAGATTGTTTGTTTGTCCAGTAACTTTTATTCTTTTAAGGGAGGTTAGGTATCACACACAAAAATTGCTGTAATTCCTAAACCATTCAACTGATTTAGATGTAAATGCCATTATTCATATTCATTATTTAATTTCAACTCCAATATACTGTGGTAGACAGCTAAAATAACAATAACATTGTCAATGTCCAAATATTTATGTACCTGAATGTGTGTACAGTCATGGAGAAAAAAGTACAACCTCCTTCAATTCTAGGTTTTTATTTGCCAGGGCCTACATAACAACTGTGTGGTCCTCACCAACTTCTGTTAGCAAACAAAAAACATAAAATAAATCAACATTCAGAAACCAAGTGGGAAAAAATAAGTACACACTTCCTACTTCCACAATCATTAAGGTGTTGCTAATGAAATGCACAAGATTAGTTAACCATCAAGAAGTGTGACTACCTCTATAAAAGCAGAACTTTGGCAGTTTGGTGTTCTGGAGCACTAAGGTGTATGTGTACATCATGTCAAGAAGAAAGGACAACATCCATGACCTCAGAGAAGCAATTGTTGCTGCTCATCAATCTGGGAAGGGTTATAAGATAAGGCTATCTAAACTCCAAACAATTTGAAACTCAGCATTCAGCAATACCTTGAAGTAAATGTTTTCTTTGGGAGTTTATCAGTCTCTCACGTCATTTTGGAGAAATTTTGACCCACTCTTTACAACATTGCTTTAGTCCATTAATGATTAAGGGTATCTGTAACAGTGAAGTACAGCTCTCATAAGATCCCGCCACAGCATCTCGGTGGGGTTGAGTTCTTGACTTGTCCATTCTAACACATTGATTTTTTTTTCTTTAGCTAATCAGATGTCAATTTGCTGGTGTGCTTGGGATAATTGTCCTGTTGCGTGACAGATGGCCTCACATTTGTCTCAAGAATATTCTGATATAAGGTGGAATTCATCGTTGTCTCAATGACTGCAAGTTTCCCAGGTCCTGTGACTGCAAAACAAGCCCAAATCATCACCCCTCTACCACCATGCTTGACAGTTGTTATGAGGTGTTTATGGTGATGTGCTGATTGGCTTTTTTTATTCATTTAATATGGCGCTGTGCATGATGACCAAAAATCTCGACCTTGGTCTCTTCAGTCCAAAGGATATTGTTCCAGAACTTTTGTGGTTTGTTCAGCAATTTTGCAAAACTAAGTCTTGCTGCCATATATACATATACACACACACACATATACATATATATATATATATATATATATATATATATATATATATATATATATATATATA